TTTAGGGATATTTGTAATCAATAACTGAAATCATATGTTGGGCTAAAATTATCTCAGGCCCTATACCTTGAGGCTTATAGGACAGAGAAATGCCTGGCTCAAGTTTGAAGGACAGTCTCAAAGCTATCTCGTGAGGATGAGACAGTAAAATCTAGGTAGAAGCCCCTTCAGCCAGAGGGAGGGTTTGGCTGTCTCTCATTGGCTGAAGGTACCCCCACACCACAAAATGTCACTTAACCTATATAACCTGATGCTCACAGCAATAAACTGAGTTCCTGCTGGAATATGGGAGACTAGATTCTGGGGGTCGAAGGGAGACCTAAATACAGAGGTGCTCAGGGGTCCCCCCTTTCCCAGGCAACTTATCCTAATGAGCCTAGGGGTTCTCATGTTCTTAGGAGACATGCCCTCCTGCAGAACCCTTTTATTTATGCCCAGGAAGCAACCGAACTACCTTTGCTATTATAAACTGTTGGGGTGGGGGCTCCTGATTACTATTGTTCTTTCTGGGGACTGGAAATTAGATTTAAAAAAAACATGGAGATATAATGATCTCCAGGGTCTCCCAGGTACCTCTATCCCAGAAACCCCTATATGGAAGATGCACTCAATTTAGATGTAACCCACTGATATTAAGGTTTAGAGATCAGAGAAAGAAAAAGGACCTATCCTGGTTATCTAGGATTAAGACTATATCAAAAGGGGTATGACCATGACCTTATTCTCATATCATAGAGATACTTCGTGAGGACCCAGCTCAGATGCTGGGGCCTGCTTCCAAGCTAATGCCATGTAGGACACACCAGTTTATACCTCAATATTACATACATTGACTTTACATACCTCAACTCCTCATCATATACCCTTAAGGTATCCTTCACCAAGCTGCCTAGAAATGTAGGGAGATTAGAAGCCTCACCTTATTTGATGGATACCATCATGATGGCCTTTATGGCTTTAAACCTTACCCACCGTGAAACCATGAGGCCTGTTGGCTTTGCTTACAGTCACTACCCCCATACTTTGAAGCCGTTGGGGTAAATGGGTCTTATGAGATACTAGATAAAGCTGATATTTGTAGATAAGAAAACCCCAAAACGGGGGAGATGACATTACTGACTATCCCCCCTCTGGCAGATGTTAAACACACTCCCTTCTTAACCTCACTTGTAATGTGGCTAATGGATCTATAGCTTCATGGAGAGTGCCTAAAGATATTTTTGGACATACCAGGAGATGTGAATTACCCCCTGCCTATCTGACCCACTGATCATTCAGCATAATGATACTTGCCTGCTTTCATTAATTTTCCCTCATGTGCTTTACCACATGCAAGAATTCCTGGCCCAAAGGCATAAGAGAGAGGCTTGAACAGCCCTGACCATTGCCACATTGATGGGAACAGGAGTGACCGGGACTGCCCTGGGCTTCTTGACCCTGGTGATTTTACAATAAGAAATGAGAATAATTCACTCACAATTGACAGCAACCTTAGAAAAGACAGAGATTGCATTTCATTATTTACAAAAGTCTTTGGGTTCCTTAGTAAGGGTAACCTTACAAAATAGGGATGGCTTGGACTTGCTGTTTATGGAACAGGGAGGAACTTCCAGGGCATTTGGGGAAAATATTGCTTCTATGCAGACTATTCCAGGATAGTTACAAGAACCCTAGAAGAGTTAAGAAAAGATATTGATTTGTTTAAGTCAAGGACCCCCTATGAGACCTGGTTTAATTGGTCTCCATGGCTTACCACGCTCATCTCTTCCCTAATTGACTGATTGCTATTTGTTTATTGATCTGTCATTTTGGTCTATGCAGTTTCCAAAGGCTGAAACAAGCATTCTAAAATCAGATATAAGTACAACTCATGGCTCTTCGAGTACAGTATAATAGGCTCTATATATGTCACTCCATGGATGAACTCTCAATTTGAAAGTATCCAGGCATAAACTCCATGTATGAGGGTGGCCCTGAGTCATACTCTGTTGTTGGTGGGCTATTCTGGCTTAGTGTTCAGGGTAGAGGGTGAGATATAAAACATATAAGGGGGAGATGTTGTGTCAAAATTATCTCAGGGCCTGTACCTCAAGGCCAGTAGGACAGAGAAAAGCCTGGATCGAGTCGGAAGGATAGTCTCAAGGCTACCAAGTGAGGAAGAGATAGCAATATCCATTTAGGCAGCCCTCCTGCTGGAGAAAGGGCTTGGCTGGAGGTACTCCCACATCACACAATGTCACTTAACCTATATAAGCTGAGGCTCACAGTAATAAACTGAGTTCCTACTTTGACTTGACTCCCTATCACGTCTGATTATCCTGTGTCCTGGGGTTGTAGAACAGGCAGATAGAATACGCAGCTTTCCCAGGGGAATAAGGCTAAGGAGGCCTGGTAATATATTTTGAATTTTATAATGGAATCTTAGAAATCTTATAAATAAATCAACTACTGTGGAAAGGAAAAGGCGTGATTATATGGAATCTGTGAACCAAAGTGTCCCAAACCACAGAGTTTTAGAGTTAAACAGATGCACAAATGTGTCATGAATATCCCTGGACTCAATGAGTGTTATTGTTAAATTAAAAGCAGAGATTTTGTTTGATTAGAAAAATGAATAAGTAAAGAAGCAATGGAAAGAATATGAGCATAAGAAACTTTTTAATTAGAATCTGGATTCCAGCACTGACTGTAGTGATGACTTTGCGAGATTGTACATTGTCCTCTAAATTCATAGCATTGTATACTTGGCATATGTGTAGTCTTCTCATGTAGCCACAGTTCAGTAAAATGGCTTTCAGAAGATGGCAAAGAATCCCAAGAAACAAAGGGATAGTTAATATTTGCAGATTTGGAAATAATTTACTACTGCAAAATTATATTCTAATTATCAATAACTAAACCAATAAATATCTTTTATTTTGCTAAGTTTTTATAATTACTTGAAATTTTTAAATTTATTTTTGCCAATTCCTCTGTAGACAAACTTTGTGTTTTTCCTAAGATTGACTACTTCACCATTAATTTCCTTTGCCCCAGTTTCAACTTCTGTGAAACTGTGAAACTAATATAACTTACTTAGTGATATACCTTTGTAGTTTTCAAGTATCTTTGATCCAGAGCTGTGGTGGAGGTCATCATTATAATAATTTTGTTTTACCAAACCCCACAGGATTTCAATATTGGGCTTTCTCAAGTATTTTCTCATTTATGTACTCCAAAAATTTACTTTCAGAAAGTGACATATGACATTCTTCTCATAATCTTCAGTCGACATTTTTATTCTAATCATGCCCTGATACTTATCCCATTGCTTTGCTACTGAAAAGTGACTATTCTCATTCTGGTATATACATAATATGAATTCCTCAAATAATCTCATTATGAGTTTATCATATATTACAGTTAAAGGCAATTCTATGGCAAAATGTTTTATAAAAATAAGGCTGTTTATAAATCACTGATATGATTAATTTAACTTAATTTAGTTATTCATGGTGCCACATGACAGAAACCTCTAGATGTCTATCATCCTCAGAAGTCTGATTAACCACTTTAGGAATTTAAGTAATCATAATAAGGTACTTAAATGATGTAAAATTTAATAACAACAAATAGAAAAATAGAATAGAAAATCTTAGGGTATTTTCCATAGATTAATGATCTGCTTTAATATATGGGTGTATAGTTGGATAGACAGATAGGTAGATATTATTTCTCTATCTATCTAACTATCTATCATCTATCTATTTATCTGTCTGTTTATCTATCATCTACCTGTTTGTCTAACTAGTCAGCATTTGTGCACTGGAAATATCAGAACCTAATTATTATTAACTTAAATATTTAGAGGTAATTACAAAAAAAATCTTCATACACCAAGGTATTGGAATTGCCAATTGCCCTATACATTAAAGGTCATAAAAGTGAATAAAGAAAATGTATGAGTTCATAAAATGAACCAATTTAAAAATATTTTGAATATCTGCATGCCTACATGTTTGTAAGAACATTTTGTGCATATATGCTGCCATCAGAGGTCAGAAGAGGGTCCTGGATACCCTGGAACTGAAGTTAATTCCAGCTCCAGGTCACCATGTGGATATTGAGACTCAAAACCAGGTGCTCTTGAACATTGTGCATTTTCTCCAGCTCAACAAACAAGTTTTCAAAGCATATTTTTTCCTATTGGCATATAAAATCAACATAATACAACTAATATTCCTAGGGTAGTTTCTAAACTTAAATTACTCAATCTAAAATTTATGTGGAAATCAGAGAGAAGAACTAAGAAAATCTGACCCTAAAGCAGTGGTATCATATCTTCTGACTTGATTGTTCTCTTTTGTATAAAACTATAGTAACTAAGCCTTTAGGGTACTGTAGATATGTAGATAAGTGTGTAGATGAATGGGACATCAAAAAGAAATAGCAAATATATTTTAGCCCCCTAAAAAGAATAGAGTATAAATCACTGTTTTTGTGTTGTTTCTAAACTATGTTCTGATATATCAATTCTTCATTAATACCGATTTTAGAAGCATATTCAACCTTTCTGACTTTTATGACTTCATATAGAAAAATCTATATTCACCTTCCTACAGTGATATTAAAAGTCATAGGAGTGTGGTTCAACATTATTCAATTTTTGTAGGTAGACCAGAGGACATAGGAGTCATTAGAATTCTCTGTGAATTTCTGCAGACAGCAGATAGCATCAACACCCACTGCCAGAATTTTAAGACACAGCAGAGGATTACAGATAGACAGCATCCTCATTCTCTGACACCTGTGCTCTAGATGTTGTGAGAAATCCAGGAATGCTTTCTGCTGCGAACTACTCTCAATAATATTTCTCTGACCTTTAAATACTGCACTTAGTAACTAATTTTCTATATTTAAATAATGTGTGCCGGAAAGTTTGTATTAGTTTGGACTGTTCTATATGAGTCTACAATGGGACTAAAACTCAGACTCCTAGCAAGGATTAAATGTGACCTTTGTTAAAGCAGAAATGGCATTGATATTCTGTAGTGTTGGAGGTGACAAAGGAGGATGTTTAGGCTACAGAGAGTACTGTTTGGCCCACTTCTATAAAAATAAATAACACCCTGTAAACTTTTCTTAAAATCCTGTGACATCTGAGAAACAGTTTCAGGAAGTGATTCATGAGGAGGAACAGCTGAAGAAACCCAATCTCTCACTTCTGCTTCCATGGAGGTTAATGTTAAGACTTGTATCACTGTGGGAGGATACTTATCATACTGTTGACAGTAATAAGTTGCAATATCTTCAGACTCCAGGCTGCTGATGGTAAGAGAATAATCTGACCCAGACCCACTGCCACTGAACCTCGATGGAATCCCATCTGCCAAGCTGTTTGCCAAGTAGATCAGGAGCTTAGGAGCTTTCCCTGGTTTCTGTTGATACCATGCTAACCAACCACTAATTCCCTGACTTGCTCGGCAAGTGATGGTGGCTTTGTCTCCCAGAGATACAGACAGTAAGGATGGAGATTGGGTCATCTGGATGCCACATCTGGCACCTAAGAATGGAGGCATTATAAATATGCACATAATTAAGCATGATATGAAAGGATTGGCCCCAAATATCAATAAACAATAATTGCAGAGTAACAAGAAATTTCCCATTTTAGGTCTCTTTCACCTGGATGCCAAAGCAGAAGGAGCCCAATGATCAGAGCAGGAGCCCTCATGTCTCTGCTGAGTCCTGACTGCAATGACAAGTATACTGAATGTGACTGGTATATGAAGAAGTCCTCAGGGCTGTGCAGTGAGTGTATGCAAATCATTGGGAACCAGTTAGGGCTGAGTACGGCTGCAAGGATTATTCAACTCAACAACTTGGCAAAAGCCCACAGTCTCAGATGTCCAAGGTCAGTCCACATACGTGCCTCCAAAGATTACACTTCCTTTACAAATTTTAAAATTATATACAACATTGTATAATATCAATAATTATATAAATAATCCCTATTTTGAGAAATAAATTTCAAAGATATATTGGGGGTAATACATACAAATTTCCAGCCACAAAAGATTATACAGCAGAGACAGGATTGTTAAATCTTTAACTCACACAAATAATTGTGATTGATTAAAAATACTGTGTTTTTCTTGTGAAGTGTTTGTGAGTTTGAGTAGTCATTCCTTTAAATTAAAAGGATAATTTATCAGGACCATTTTAATAATGTAAAAAATAAGATTATACAGCTTTAACAATGATATTACTGCAGTACAAAGAAAGGAATTACATAGTAGGTGCACATAAAACACGCTGATTCCAACAATATGTGTCACTTTGGATTTCCAACCCCTTATGAAAATGAAGGTGCTTTCATACTCACAGACTAAATGGGTTATATATTTTCCTCACTTTGGAATCCACCATTTTATCTCTTTCTACTATTTGCTTCTATTTCCCACAATTCCTCATGAGAAATCATTTAGAGGTGATGACAGATTTAAACACTGTATCAGAAAACATGAACACTCAAATACGTGGCTCTCTTATATATTACAAATAATATTTTCACTTTTTACTCTTGAACAGTAACTGGAAACATTAATCTGATTTAGATGACAGCCTCATTTTCTGCGTGTATGTGTCAGTCTCCAAAAAAACTAAGAGGCAGAAAAGTTTGTGTATCATCATACACACACACACACACACACACACACACACACACACACACACAAACATACACACTATTTGAGGGATTTTATTCATTAAATTACGGACTTAAGATTACAAAGATTCTGATACTTAATGCATCCAAGACAACAATTCAGGCATATTATCTACAAATCATAGGAACAGTCATTATATAAGAAATAGTAAATCTCACTCTGGAAGAATACCCAGGTTTAAAGAATAGGAGATTGAATAAAATTTTCAATTAACAAAAATAAACAATATTGAGATATTTTGTTGAGATTTAATGCATGAACATATTGCCATTCAGTTCATTTTGTCCTGTATATTCTTCATACTCCATTTTCAATTATTTCTTGTTATTTTCTGTATGTTTATATCAGACTGTCTGTCTGTCTTTGGTTTGGATTTCCATGAAAAGATTTCCCTGTGGGGAACTGATTGTTCTGGAATTCACTCTGTAGATAAAGCTTGTCTTGAACTCAGAAAACTAACTGCCTCTTTCAAAGCTTTGCACCATTCTTAATTTTTTTTATTTCCTTCTTGTAGTTCAAGATGTGAGCGTTTAGGTGATATTTCAGCCACCATGACTTCTCTCTAGCATCATTGATTTTGACTCTCTAGAACCATAAATTCAGATACATCCTTTCTTATAGAAGTTGTTAATTGTCATGATGATTATCACAATAGTAGTAGGTAAATCAAGACAATTTCCCACGAGAATTTTTGTTGACATGCTATTTCTAAAGACACTGTACTCATTTGTGAACGGATATGGAAAAATCAGTCAACCTTGACCAAAGAGCTAGGGAAGCCTGATGATATGATAGTTTTTATCATAGTGAAGCTCCTGAGCTCCTGAGGGGACAAAAGTCTACAAAACTAATATCCAATTGTAAACTACAGTAATGACCTTGGATATAAGATTTTACCATTTGTCCAAGAGTGACACAAGTGTTTTCTGAGGAGAAGAAAGCTCTTTCCGCAGTCCTGCCCAGACCATGGAAGAAGTTGGATGTGACCTGACCTGCTGAAAAAGGCACTGAGCCATGTGGCTAAATAGATAAGAATAATGGGTTAATATAAGTTATAAGAGCTAAGAGGCCAATCAGTTTGTAACCTATGGGGACCTCTGTGTGACTTTGGGGGCTTACCAGCTGTGGGAACTAGGCAGGACATAAACCCCAACAAGCCAGCCCTCATGTTACATCTATTCAAAATGGCACTTGAAATTCTAGCTAGAGCAATGAGAACCAAAAGAGATCTAAAGGATGAAATTTGGAAAGAAAGTTGTCAAAATATCATTATTTGTAGATGACAAGTGTCTTATTTAGTTTTTTTATTGCTGTGATATGACAACCACAGCAACAGGTTTTTTAATTAATATTTAATTGGTGTGACTCACAGTTTTAGAGGTCCAGTCCATTATCATCATGACCTGGAGCATGGAATTATGCAGGTACAGGACTGGAACAGCTAAGTCTTACATATGTCTGACAACAGGAACTTGACAGACAATCACAGTGAGGAAAGTTTGAGCAAGAGACCTTAAATCTCAACACACAGTGATACACTCCATTCAATAAGGTAACATCTCCTAATAGTAGCACTCCCTTTGGTGGGGGGCATTTTGTCTTTCAAACCACCACAATAAGACAGAATAAGCAAATGACTGCCAAAATTCTCCCAGGCAACTCTTAGCTTCTGAAAAACACCTTTAATAAATTAACTGAATTCAAGATTCACTCAACATAATCAGTAGCCTTCCTATATACAAACAATAAATGAATTAATAAACAAATCAGTGAAAGAATAGCATTTAAAATAACCACAAATAATATTATCTCTCTTGGTGTAACTCTAACCAAGTAAGTAAAAGATCTACATGATAAGAGTTTTAATCCTTTCAAGAAATAAATTGAAGAATATATCAGAAGACCAAAAGATCTTACATGCTCATGAGTCAGTAGAATTAATGTAGTAAAAATGGCCATCTTACCAAAAACAATATTAGGAGTTAATACCATCCCATCAAAATTCCTTGGCAATTCTCCAAAGACCTTGAACAAACAGTACTCAAATTCATGTGGATAAACAGAAAAGCAAAGATAGCTAAAACAATCCTGCAAAATAAAAGAGCTTCTAGAGGTATCACCACTCCAATTTGTAAGCTCTATTATGAAGGTATACTATTAAAAAACCAAATGTATAGGCACAAAAACAGACGGGTGAATCAATGACATCTGATAAAGGATCCAACTATGAATTCATATTCCTATGGGCACTAGATTTTGACAAAGAATAAAAATTGCACAATGGAATTAAAAAAAAGCAGTTTGGACAAATGGTATCAATCTGTATATAGAAAAATTTAAATAGATATTTGTCATCCTGCACAAAACTCAAGTTCACAAAAAAATCAAAAACTTCAACAAAAATCCAGATACATTTAACCTGTTAAAAAAGAAAGTGGGGAGCCTTGAAAGCCTTGACAGTGGAGGAAACTTCCTAAACAGAAAACCAATAGCATAGGCACTAAGATCTATAATAAATAAATTGAACCTCATGAAACTGAAGAGCTTGTGATGGAGGAAGGTCATTGGTTAATTAATAAAGAAACTGCTTGTCCCTCATAGGTTAAAACATAGGTCCCTGGAGAAAACAGAACAGAATTCTGGGAGGAAGAGGAAGTGAGCTCAGATGCCATGAGAATCTTCCCGGTAAGCGTACCTTGGGGTACTACACATATTATTAGAAATAGGCTAGTCCAAGTACGAGAGTTAGCCGAGAAGAGGCTAGATATAATGGGCCAAGCAGTGTTTAAATGAATACAATTTGTGTGTTGTTATTTCGGGTTTAAAACTAGCTGGCAGCTGGGAGCCGGGCTGTGGGAAGAGGCCCATAGCTTCTACAACAGAATGGCACCCAACGTGGGGTGACTGCATCCATAGAAAGACTGAGTAAGCTTGGGAAAGAATGGAGTAAAGCATGTTTTCTTGGTAGCAGCAATTTCTCAGGTCTGCTCTGCCTGCTAGAGGCAAGCAAGTGTTCTCATCTAAGAGAGGCTTCCTGACTCAACTTCAGCTGCAAACCTTGCAGCTCTTTTAAGAGGTCCTGCCACAAAACACTTAAATGGCACTTTGATAAAAGTTGACTGAATGCTTGTTTGTTTTCAGCCATAGCAAGAAAAAAGTTGTGCCGTTTAAAAATGCCAGCTTTCAGAGCTGTACTGCCAGGGCTAACTCTGACTCAGGCAGGCAGTCTGGCTGAGTGTGGTCTGTGAGAAGAATGCTGCAGCTTGTTTGCTGGCAAGGACCTTGAAACGCCATAGAGTTGTGGCAATAAAAATGGCTACAGCCGGTAACTCCGCCATGAGGCTGGAAAGCTAAGGAATGGGCTGGATCTAGCCCTCAAAGCCATGGCTTTAATCCTACTCATGTTGCTCCATAATTTAAAGGCTCATGTGTTCAGAAAAAGAGAGGGAGATACAGTAAAGAGAGATTCAAAAACAAAGAAAACCTCTAAATGATTTACAGTGTGTTGAAAATATATGCAGACTAAAAGTTAAAGTTTTTAAGTAAAAAAAAAAAAACAACAACAAAAGGAAGAAAGAGAGTAGTTGGGTGTGGTAGGACACACCTTTAATCCAAACACTTGGAAGGCAGAGGGAGATTGACCTCTGTGACTTCAAGGTGTGGTAGCACACGCCTTTAATCCCAATGCCTGGGAGGCAGAGACAGACAGATCTCTGAGAGTTCAAGGACAGCCTGGTCTACAGAGTTATTCCAGGTCAAAGATATACAGAGAACCTGTCTCAAAAAGCAAAAAGTTAAAAGTAAAAATAAACAAAATAGAGGTTAAAATAAAGCTGCACAAAGATGGAAAATATACAGAGAATATTGATACTGTATGCTATTATGCTCTCTTTGAATTGTTTGAATCCTGAGGAAAGAGCAAAGGATATTTGTTTTTAAATGCTGCTGAACTAATCCAAGATAGATGTTTTGAGATGTTTGAAAATACCTTGACTTCAGAATTTGG